GCCCCCCCCCCCCCCCCCGTCACATTTGTGACGTCATATGAAACCCAAGAATTAGTATATAGGCAATGACGAAGTGGAAATCGGTTCTTTTGGGCCTTTGGCAAAGAATAACTATAATTGTAACCTAGTTTTCAGCGTGTCAGGTCTGTTTCAAATTTCAAACGTCGATTTTTTACTTACCGAAGCTAATGATGATGTCATCAATCTTTTTTGAAAATCATGAACACATGAACAGTTCGATGTTTGAAACAAACTTGCGTGCAATGAGCTTTGTTATGTTTATTCTGGCCTTTCTACTTTACTGGACAATTTGCTACAAAACGGCATCACTGAAACGGATTTTTTGCGCCAACCCTTTTTCCAAACTTTACATCGTGACACTCGCACCCTATCCAACGATCTCCTTCATTCTTTGGCTTTCATCGCTTCAGGAATTATAGCTGGAGGTGATCCAATCACTACTTCAAGTACAGGCGTAAAGATACAGAATGACGCGTTAAAGTGCTTTAACATTGTCGATGAAAAATTGCACTGGAACGATCAAGCATTGGAGGTACAGGCACAAAATTCATTGATGTTTTAATTTTTTCATTCTCTTTTAACTATGGTTGATTTTTACTACCAGGTACTAACAGATCAAAGCGATTTTCTCGTCGTTGGGGTGCTAGGTTGTCAAGGTGTTGGAAAATCTACTATTCTCTCCCTGCTGGCAAATGGTTTGGCTTTAAGGGATAAGAGGTGATGTATATACAGTATCCCACATACATATGGCCGTGCGGAGATACGAATTATATTTTCGAGAATTTACAACTAACAGGTATAATATACCACTTGGCAGGGATTATTCTAAGGAAATTTTATCACTGCACAAAAGCGCGAAAAAATGATAAAATTTATATAAATTTAGCGACATTTTAGAAAACGTTCTGACTGCCCTGCATGAGCAGGGGGCCCCTATTTCAATTTTTTTTCCGGAAAAAATTTTTTTCGAACAACAACCTTCTCCACCCCCCCCCCTCGTCGACAACTTTTTAGGTAAAACATTTTTCCGGACGAGTACGTTGCAATTGCTTTCCAGGGACTTATCTCAATTTTTCGTACCTAATTTCGGTACTTAGCCCCAAAAAATTTTGAGTTAAGTACTTTCCCCCTGTATATTCCCAGTGAAAACTGAAAGCCATTGTATGTGGATTATTTGCATGGTGGCCATTTTGTCACCAATTTCTGGTACTGAACAATATCGCATTTTATCACTGCACATAATCTAATTTATCACTGCACAAATCAGATTTATCACTGCACAAATTGGTTATCACTGCACCTTAGAATAATCCCTGCCACTTGGTCATAACTACATTCAAAATTTTTCATTTTGGATACGTTTCTCAATCGGCAAACGAACTTAAATTTAACAACGAAGTATGCCTGATGCTTTATCTGTAAAATGATGCTAAAATGAAGCCAGATTTTAGATGCTACGCCAATTCTAAAGAGAAAATGACGTCTGAAATTCAGTAGGTTTTGCTTATATTGCTGCGAAATATGGCGTCAATTTTATAGCATCATCATTGATAATTGGATTTTAATTGGCAATTTTTTACCATTAATTTACAGTCATGTATGTTCCTCAACCGGTAGATGTATTTAGAAAGGTAGCTGTTTTGGACTTTGTCCAGTTTATTATATAGTTCATGTTAATTTATTATGGTAATAGACTTGTGTCCAGTAACATTGAAAATAGAGAGGTCAGAGGACGGAACACAAAACGTTTTGAGAAACAGGGTTTTTCTGTAAAAACTGTTGAGTTGTACTAAATAAATATATGAAAACCTCATGGTTAATGAAAATTACACGCCGTCTATAACAGAGCTGGTCCTTCGTCGAGCCGGATAAGAAAGAAAATGCCAGAAGTAAGCGAAATTGACAAGTGTAGAGCGAAGAGAAAAGTCGCGAAAGCTAGCGTGACAAGAAATATGAATCGTGTCAGAGAGCTGATCTCTAGCGATGGAAGTGTTCCGAAAGTCCGACAGTTTGCCAAAGGTGTAGAAGAAGGTCGTACGAAAGCCCGTGACCTTACGAAAGAACTGGAAGAGCTTGATCCAGCGTCAATTGAGACTGATGGTAGCTGGTTAGAAGAGGTAGAATTTGATGTCAACGAAGTCCTGGGAGAATTTGCCGAATATTTATTAAAGTCTGAGAGCCCATCGCCAAACGAACAGTCTAGTATTACACCACCAACTGCTCAGAATAATGATGAAAATACTGAAACTGTGAACGATTCAATGTCTGGGAAAAGAACTGGTCTGAAAGGTGTTGAAATCCCATCATTCGATGGAAAACCAGATAAGTGGCCGTACTTTTGGGGAATATTTAGTTCTCTTGTCCATAAAAACGATAAACTAACGCCAGCAATCAAGCTAGCTCATCTGAATAGCTGTTTAACGGACAGAGTACGTGAAGTTATTGCATGCCTGACCGGGGAGCCTGGGGACTATGACAGGGCGGTGAAACAACTCACTGATAGGTATGGGGACCCCCGAGAAATTATAGATGCCCATTTACGCAGAATAAGTTCTTGGCCCCACATTAAGGATAAGGATCGTGAAGAATTTCAACGCTTTGCAGATGCATTACAAGCAGCTGTGTTTGCACTAGATAAACCTGACTATAGGCATGAATTAGCTAGTATACCTCTTTGTACCTTGTTGGTTCAAAAACTCCCACCTAGAGAAAGGGATGAATGGGTAAAACAGGTTGAGAGTGAAGATTACTCGGAAGACATGAAGGGTTTAGCCAAGTGGGCCCAAGTTAGAGCCAAAACCATGCGTAAACGTGAGCGATACAATATTGAGCCGCCAGATAAGGGTAAAGAGTCAACTAATTTTCAGCCACCAGGTCGCATGCGAGGTAGGGTCCATGCTCTACGCACATCTGGATTTGATCCAGAACACCAAAGTTTAAAAAATTGTCCATTGTGTGATAAAAAACACACTGAAGTCTCATGCCCTTTGTTTTTTGATAGTTCTGTTGAGAAACGTTGGGAAATTGTAAAAAATAAAAGGGTATGTTTTGGTTGTTTGAAACCTGGCCACCAACGGCGCCTGTGCACAAAGTCCACCAAATGTGGGGTAGACTCATGTGACAAAGGCCATCATTATTTATTGCACAGTTCTAAATCTAAGCATGAGAAACCATCTGATGACCCACCTAAGACCCCAGAGGAAAACAAAGCAATGCATTGTGGGAAAGCACAAATCAGCACACCCATAAGTGAGAGGGTTGCCCTGAAAACTGTATCTGTCCCATTTATAGATGATTCTGGAAGGGTAGTCAATGGTTTGGTACTTTTAGACTCGGGAAGTGAGACCACACTTGTAAGAGCAGGGTTTGCAAATCAGTTAGGCATAAAGGGGCCTAAGCAAAGTCTTACTGTGGATGCAGTAGGAGGGGTACGCACCGTAGTGAAATCACAACGTGTACATTTACCATTTGCACCACACATCACAAAGGCAAAAATAACAGGGTGGACCATTAATAATAGCTGTGCCCCTGTCCCAGATGTTAATTGGCCTGAGATTAAGCATAATTATGCCCACCTAAATGATGTCCCAATAGAGCCACTAAGTAAGGGCACTGTTGATGTCCTGTTAGGGTTAGATGCAGCTGCATTAATGGCACCCGTGCAAGTTAGACGCGGGGGGCATTTAGAGCCATATGCAGAGTTGACACCCTTAGGTTGGGTGATTGCCGGCCCAGTCCCCGCCTCCAATGGTCAGGAGAAGCGTGTCCTGTGTGTCCACGTGTCGGAGGACGAAGGCGATGCTAATCGAGAGTTACGAAAGTTCTGGGATGTGGACAGTTTCGGTGTTCGGGCAGAGATTAAGTCACCTTACACGCCTGGTGAGCAGAAAGCCTTGGACATTCTTGATCAATCATGCAAGCAGCAGGAGTTTGGTTATCAACTCGGACTTCTTTGGAAAACGAACAGACCTAGCTTACCTAATAATTATGACACTGCCTTGAAACGCCTAGAATCGGTTGAACGTCGCCTTTTGAAGGATCCGAAGTTAGCTGAGGGATATTTAAAAGCGATAAATGCATATGTTGAAAAGGGATTTGCACGCAAGTTATCGGAAGAAGAGCGCATAAAACATGGTGAACAGTGGTTCCTACCCCATCACCCGGTTCTCTCCCCACACAAACCCCTACCGAGAGTAGTATTTGATTCCGCAGCAAAACATGGTGATATCTGCCTTAACGATTGTCTTCAGGCTGGACCCAGTCTCCACAACGATTTACCTGGCATACTGATGAGATTTCGTGAGAAACCTGTGGCGCTTACTGGTGATGTGTCGGATATGTTCTGTCATGTGCGATTAGAACCGGAGGACTGTAAATACCATCGTTATTTATGGCGCGGATTGGATATGTCGAGACCACCTGATGTGCACGAGATGAACTGTCTGGTGTTTGGAGATAAATCTTCACCCTGCGAGGCAAACTATGCTGTGATTCGCACCACCGAAGACAACAAGGAAGAATGGCCCGTCGCAGCCGCAGTGGTCAAGCGTGATATATTTGTTGATGATTTATATACGTCCTGTTATGATGATGATGAAGCAATAACCTTGCGGAAGGATGTGACAAATTTGATGGCGAAGGGTGGATTCCCGATGCGCAAGTGGCTCTCGTCATCACGAAAGGTCCTGGAAACAATACCCGAAGAAGAAAGAGCTGTCCCAAACAAGAACGTGAATAGTGGAGAACTTCCGTCAGGGCGTGCGTTGGGGGTGAAATGGGATGCAAAGTCCGACATTGCATTAGCACACATTGATCGTCCGAAGGCGCAAAATACAAAGCGAGGTATTCTGAAAAGATTGGCTGCATTATACGACCCGTTGGGCTGGGCTGGGATTCAGGGACCAGAGTTCTTAAAGTCTGAGTCCTCAGAGTGGCCTGTTGATAAAGTTGCAGTTGATTTTCCAGAGCCAAGTCAAGCGGAGTTGAAGAAATCGGTTTTGAAAGCAAAGGTCGCACCAGCGAAGCCAGTTATTGATCCTGCCGCGTATTCTAGCTGGATCAAACTCACCCGAATAACCGCATGGATATTTCGCATGTGTAACAATCTGCGCAACAAAGAGAAACGAATATCGGGACCGTTGACTGTGGACGAACTCGATAATGCTAACTTGTACTGGATCAAACGGGGCCAGAGCGATCGCTTCCAAGACGAAATCGAAGCGTTGAGAAAGGGTCGTCCGGTTTCACGAGATAGTCGTATTGCAAGTCTCGATCCCCAACTCGTGGACGGTGTTTTACGGGTAGGCGGCAGAATCGAAAAGGCGGAAATTCCGTGGGAGTCGAAGCATCCAGTTATATTGGACCACGGACATGATGTCACCCGGTTGATCGTGATCCACTACCACCGAAAACTTATCCACGCGGGAGTCGAACATGTCTTTAATCACGTACGTGAGAAATACTGGATTTTGCACGGTCGAGCCGAAGTTAAGAACTGTACGGTTAAGTGCCCACTATGTTTTCGCCGTCGTGTTAAACCTATGACGCAGAAAATGGCTAATTTACCGAATGTACGTCTCGCAGGCGCAAGTGTTCCTTTTCGACACGTTGGGATTGATTATGCCGGACCGTTTGAGACTCGAATTGGACGCAATCGAAAGGAAAAACGCTATATTTGCTTATTTACGTGTCTCCATATGCGCGCGGTTCATCTCGAGGTCGCACATAGTTTGGACACTGACTCGTGTATAATGGCGTTGCGACGATTTCAAGCTCGTAGAGGAGTCCCTGTTTGTATAATGAGTGATAATGGGACAAATTTCGTAGGTGCCGAAAGAGAGTTGCGCGAAGCGTTGAAAGATCTGGATCAAGAGAAAATCTCGAATGAGTTAACAGCACGTGGAGTACGTTGGATCTTTAACCCGCCTGCTGCCCCATGGTTTGGAGGTGCCTGGGAAGCGTTAGTAAAGTCTGTCAAACGGGCATTGAAAGTTATGCTTGGGAATGTTCGCACAGTCGATGAAGTTTTCCTTACTGTCATTGCCGAGGTAGAAGCGATGCTGAACTCTCGTCCGCTTGTCTATGGTGGAAGCAGTGATTTGCCAACAGATCTCAGCGTGATTACACCAAACCACTTCTTGCATGGTCGTGCGAGTTCGAACGTGTCGCCCTGCGAGTTTAACCAACGAGATATGTCGTTACGTCGAAGATGGCGTCATAGCCAGTTCTTAGCGAACCAATTCTGGCGCCGATGGTCGAATGAGTACATTCCGCAGTTAATAAAGCGAAGCAAATGGAATGTTGCACACAGAAATCTACGTCGCGGTGATCTTGTCTTGATCCTTGAGAAGGACGTACCTCGTTCGCATTGGAGGCTCGGAAGAGTGATTGCACCGATCGCAAGTGAGGACGGACTGATCAGATCCGCGGAGATTGCAACGAAAACTGGAACATTGACACGTCCTGTAGGACGGTTAGCATTACTGGAAGCTTTTAATGATGAGTAACGTTCCCCCCGTTCACGTCACGGGCGGGGGTGTTTTGGACTTTGTCCAGTTTATTATATAGTTCACGTTGATTTATGTTAATTTATTATGGTAATAGACTTTTGTCCAGTAACATTGAAAATAGAGAGGTCAGAGGACAGAACGAACACAAAACGTTTTGAGAAACAGAGTTTTTCTGTAAAAACTGTTGAGTTGTAGTAAATAAATATATGAAAACCTCATGGTTAATGAAAATTACACGCCGTCTATAACATATATATATATATATATATATATATATATATATATATATATATATATATATATATATATATATATATATATATATATATATATATGTCAGAGAATTTCACATTTTACATACTACTACCTATGTAAATTCGAAGCTATTTGGAAATGAGTTAAAAAAAGACTTACCGCGAATAACTGCTGAACTTGATTTTGAACCTGCTTTTGAAAAATGCACTGTCAAGCTACAATATGCTAGTCCGTAAGCGGCCGTCTGAAACATGTCGATAGCCAGCACAAACCATGGTACCCTTGTGAAGGACAGAGCCAAGAAGGACAGAAAAAACAGTAAGAAAGCGATACATATAGTCTTGAGATCACCAATTCTTTCTAGCAACTGGCAAGACAATAGCATCCAACCAGCCAGCATTGGCCGACGAACTAACCCAGCTACACCCAATACTAAAGGGCTTGCAAACAATCCGTCTAAATACCAAAACTCCCAGTATATCTGAAACGCTACAGGAATTCCGGTACAAAAAAGGACGCAGAACATGAGTGCAAAATGAACATTGCATAATGCTGATTTTACCTCTGACCAGTTAATCGTTTTATTTTCGTTGTATTCATACCGAAACCACGGCAGAGAAAGCATTGAAAGTAGTGCCATACAGCCGGCAACGATATACATTGTAAAATAACCATAGTCTTCTGTCCCACAAATGTTAATTCTGATAAACCATGCCAACATAGCGACAGTGAATATCGAAATGCCACCACCAACATGACTCCACATATAATATGCACCGTAGTTTGCTCTGCGCTCTTTAAGGTACGTAATGGTTGCCAAATCTCCTAACGATGCGACTATTCGATGTGGAAATTCATATGCAGTTCTGGTGAGAAGCATGAAGATAAACAATTTGCTAAGCCAGGGAACATTTTCAGAATAACTTGCTTCTGTGTTTGTGGGGGTTGTTCCTTGCTCCGAGTCGCCTAATTTATCGGTGAAATTAATGGTAGGAAACGAATTTTGTGAAAGCACTGAACCATTGATAGACTGTTTAGATGTCAACGCTATCGACTTGTTTGATATTAAGCAAGAATTCGCTGGTGACGAAACTATTAAAGGAAGCAGCGGCAGAAAATAACATACGACCAGAAAAACTAATCCAATAGTAACCAAAAGTTTTCGCGCCCGAAATTTGTCGCCAATGAATAGACATGATGGTATAATCATATTCGGAACTCCCATAAGATTTGTAAATCCAATCTGCCGCGGACTTAAACCAAGTTGTTTCATGTATATATTACTGAATTCTGAGTATAGAACCAAACTTCCTACGGACCAGAAGTAATACCATTTTAGAACGATAGATGTGATCGAAAACTTCTCCATGATAGCCATAGATTACTGATTACTACTTAATTCGCACTTGAAATAACTATTGTAAAAGAGAAACAGAATCAAGCTTTGTGTTTAACTTTGAATTGGGGGACACTCAGGAATGCATGAAGAACGCAACAACTTTAAAAGCAGAAATTTGTAAAACCATTTAGGGACTCATGGTCATTATTTATGGCGAGGTGTGGCACCGAAGAGAAAAGGGTTGGGTAAACAAAATCTTGAGTGAGCAAAAAGGTTGGGTAAATGAAAAACAAAACAACTCAAGCTAGGGTTGGGTAATAAGAATAGATTGTCATTTGCAAAGCATGACTGACTAAAATATTGGAGACTAAAAAGCAATGTCAACAGTCATAGGTCGATACAATCATGCATATTGTTAGTAGATAGATGGTTTGGAAACTCATTAGAATAACAATGTAACCATCCTATTGTTCGAGTCACGGATAGGTGACTTTCCTAAAACATTGCGCAAAAATACAATTAGCAATTGCATGTTAACGTTACGGTGAAGGAGTATAATATTTATCAATAAACGTTGATTATATACATAGATATTATTAACTATGATACAATATGACATATATAAATCAATCAAAGTCACTACCTTGATCATTTTCCGATTTTTTGGGAGACAAATGGTGCCCCCAAAGAAAGTACATGTGCAGACAACATGAAAAGCCATTATCGAACACATGAAACAGGAGTGGTAATGAAGGATATGTGTGACAATTGAATGATATCGTTTTGTAAATTTTTTGGCCTTCAGGGGTGGGTATTTATTTTTTAATTCATATTCGAGATTGGGTAATCAAATTTTTGAATTTCTAATGGTTGTGTCAGCAACATTTCCTCGAAAAATATTTCTCTTCGGTGCCACCCCCCGCCATAAATAATGACCGGTCCCTTAAAAACGTCTTACAGCGCCAGTCGATCTAATAATAATTTTGGCTTTATTTAGCATGTTTTTTTATACAAGTTTGAAGTTTGCGATTGGTGGTCTGCGGTAAATGTCAATCTAGTCTCTATAATGTGATTAGACGACCACGCTGTTTTCAAAGATCGCAGGTTCGATCACACCATGTAACCGCAGGTTCGATTCCTGTCTGAGTGCCAATGCCACAATAGTTACATTTTTCGCAAACTGTATAAAATTCGCACTCGAAATTTCCATCTACAAAACCGTTCTACAATTATCTCCACGGACAAAAAGTGAACAAAACACATTTTGTTCGTACAATCAAAGAATTGGCCGTGATATGATGCATTTTGGGCTAAGGATTGTATCCATGCATGCACTCGTCTAAAGTTACACTCAACTACGGTCCTCATGGGGCCAATAGATATTGAGGAAACTTTCTATTTAAAAATGAACCAACGGATATAAGTCTCCTTAACATATCAACCAACTAACTTACATTTAATATGGCTCGATATATTAATCCACGTCAAAATCCCTATACCACAATTGTGAAATCAAAACGTCGTCCTACCTGCGTGACCATTTGTGTTTGTTAGAATATTAACGAATGGATTTATATGACGAGACCCACGACTTGCCTACGTCATCTCGCGTTATTGTATGTTATTTATAACCGGGTTGCGCGGCAATTGCAGACGTCATTCGAAATGCCAATTTTTTCTAAAAGTGTGATAGCTATATAGATGTCATTATTCTGTCCGCTAACCTACAGTATGCTGAAATTGTGCATTCTATATTACTGCAAAGTCTTTCAATATACCAAATAAAAAATTAAATGAATTCTATAACGCATGCCAAAACAAATTATCGAACAAATGGTGTTTTGCGGGGGTTTTTTTTTGTTGTTTTTTTTTAATAGCATTATACGTACAGAACTTTTTTTTACATTTTTTTGATTGTTAGTTTATGTTCTAAGTAAAATAGTGATTGAAAAAAAATTAGGGACGACCGCGTGCTCCTTTTTCTAACTACAGATAAAGCAATACGCTATTTCAAAGTGTTCGTACGCGTGCATGTCTTACCACAGCAACGAACTATATGTGTTCCTGCAACACTGCCATAATTTACAAGCTTATTCATTTCATTGCGTAGACGGTACATATGCCATGGTTTATTTTGCCACGAAACCGTGCGAAACGCTATCTTTCCCTTCGCGAAACTTCAGTATATCTCGTGTAGTTGCTGAGGCGTTATAATATGTGCCTAGTTGTGGGGAAATTATAATTATATCCGCATGCACGCAGCGAGTGCGGTTGTAATTTGGTGAAATGTCCTGATAAACTACTGAAATGTTTCGTTTACATATGTGTACTCTATCTTTTTTGCGTGATTGATCTCAGATCCTGAATTTTACAACACAGCCGTTCCTTAGTTAAAGTATTTGTAGTATATTCTTTGCGCGTGACCGATATCAGACACAAGTCAGTAGGTAACATTTATAAACTTTCTGATTTGGCTGCGTAGACGGCCGTGCAGACATGGAATATTTTGCTACGAAATTTGAAATTTCCGAAACAATATCTTAAGTTTCCCCTCGTGGAGTTTTGGCACAGAAAGTGTGTGTACTTTGTTTGATTGTTTCAAGCACTTAATTGATCAGTGGGAAGTGGGCATGTAATATATGCATGACCTTTCTGGAGAACGAAGCAGACACATTTGTTGCATAGTAACTTTTATTATTTGTTGCATAGTAACTTATATACGCAGTGAAGTAGTGAAATAAAAACCATATATGCCTAAAATTTCTGAGAATCTCAGACAATACGATATTCGCCACTAATGAAGAACGCCGTATTGGACGTATGGAATTCGTCACAAGTGAAGAATCACGTGTTGACCTTTCCCGCCACTGGCGTCCAGCATTAAAATTCAATAAGACAACAACGATCAGTTTCGTTTGATGGTCCGTTCGATTTTTAATTTGAAATGGCTTCACGATACTTGAAGATAAAGTAATTGTTGTATTATTGCACATTTTGATGCGAATTATTATTTTTGAAACATATACTTGTATTGTATCACTTCAGAACTAAATATCACCATAATAAATAATAACTCAAAAATAAAATAAACAAATTACTTCATGGTTGGTTCGCTTGTACGATTTTAGCAAGCGGGGGAGGAGGAGAAAAAAAATTTTCGAACCATATTCCTTAAAAGAATTTTCTGGACTATGACAAGTAAAAAAAAGTCACAAGAATTTTTCCGCATTCATGTCTACTAAAAACGGAGTCCAAGTTTCACAATTTCACCACTTCCCGGCTTTTGGGCGCCATTAAGTTTTGCTGGGAACCCCCATCTTTGGACACCCATGCAACACCCGCCAGTTACGCAACTGACTGCACTCACGCGTTCGTTTATATGAATTTTTCGCAACTCGTGCATAAATATCGTACGCGCTCACCAACCATGAAGTAATCTCTAAATATTTGTTCAGTTGATAGCCGGGTTACAATGTGAGTTTTTTATGTGATACGATAAAATTTAATAATTTGATAAATGGGAAATTGAGCATATAATAATTTTCTGAAGAGCGAAACAGACACTAATAATAATACTGTTTTATAGTCGGGTTACAATGTGGTTTCTTATATGATAAAATGCAATTGTTTGATATTGTTTGCAACGCTGATTTCATGCTAAGTGGTAAAGTGGGATGTAATATATGAATTTTTTGAAGAACGAAGCAGACACATTTGTTGCATAGTAACTCATAATTGTTTGATATTGGGGTATCAATGTGCGTTCTTATATTATAATAAAATGTAATTGTTTGAAGCACTTGATAATTGGGAAAGTGGGCATGTAATATATGAACGAAGAAGACAAGTTATATAATTATCATAATTTGGAAACTAGTTGGGTATTTTAACATTAGATTCTCGAAAATTTTACGATGTGCACGAGGCGGTGCCTGATAAGGTTACTCAAGGTCCTAAAATCGCCTTAATATTAAGTCGCCGCCTAGTGGAAACCCGGCTTTAAGGCGATTAAAGGCGACTTAGGACGAATTAATACTGGATTAATGTGAGGGGATTTTACCATAATATATGGAAAATGTTCTGCCTTTTTCGAAATATCTCCTATCATCCCCACCCTGCCTACCCCCCAAAGTGACATATGGGATCATATATTTAAAGTGTAAATTGCACCATGAATGTCAGGTATCCCACCCCGTGCAGGTCTTTGGCACTCATAAGTTACAATGCCCCCTAATACCCCCTACTTCATTATTTTACTCTAATGCCAGACGATTTTTCTTGTCATGGAAAGAGTGCTGGGATTTAATGGTTAAACATCTAATCTAGCTCATCTTGTTATAGTTTCATTACAATAATATCATCTATAATTATAATTAATTTTCAATGCAATCTATCTTCTCTAATGAGATGCTTCTAAATTAAACCCTTACCTTCTGATAGATATTTAAAAAGTGCATCGCTAATTAATATTATTACTATTATAAATCTGTAGAGAAATACGTTTTACTGCGTTTATGTATCAGTCAATTTCAGCTATTAACACGTGGTGGTAGACGCTTTTGAGACTTTGGCCATGCTTTGGTCCTCATATATTTGCTGTTTCTCCTTGACACAGGCAAAGGCAAAGATTGTCGCCAAGTTATACCGGCTTAATCTCAATTAAAGTTGTCCTAAATTTTTTCAGGTTTTGAGGCAGTTTTCAAATAAAAAAATTCTAATGCAATAATAATTATAATTATTATATGGCAAGCATTTGTTTTGACGAATCGTGCAATTTGATTGGCTGCTGACGAGGCAGGATTTTCCCGTATTACCCACGGGCAATACGCAATTTTTATTGCCCAGCGACGAGAGCCGAGTTTCAAACAGCAAAAAGTGTCTAAAAGTCTTTCAAACTATTCAAAACGAAGAGATATAAACCTAAACTAAAGAAAAGGAGCAACTGCTGTGGTTAAAGAACTTTCTCCATACGTTTTTGTTAGCAAAAGTCAAAATTACAAGGTAAATATTACGTTTATAACTATAAAGGCAGTCAGGAATAGTTGTGTTTTGACAATTCGAAGAGCTGCAAATTTTATTTGTAGATAGCCAGGAGGAATTTGACATCATCCTAAATAAAAAATACAACTAAAACAGCCATAGATTTATAATTTTTCCCTGAAAATTTCTGTTTTTGTTAGATAAAAAGAGACATAAATATGAGATGAAGCGAACTAAAAACGTACTTGTTTTTGTAATTTTATTGAATTTTATGGTTTTCATATTTGTTGTCTTTGATTAAATGACGAAATACCTCGTATTTTTCTTGAAATACTATCCAAACTGTGTTAGTATTCTATATAAAAAGTACTGTAGAGTAGTTTTACTAACCAAAGAACATGTTTTACAATTGTTATTTTTTTGCAAACTGTTTCGGACATTGTACTTAGCCCTCGCGTGACCTTTTCTTCCATTCTTTACAAACGTACAATGCCATATAATAAAAAACGTACTGACCTCAACCGTTCGGGCAGTACGGGAAAATATCCAACCTCGGTCTTGCTGTATTGACCTTGCTATCGCTCGATCAATACAGCAAGGCTTCGGTTGGATATTTTCCCGTACAGCTCTCACTCACGGTCAGTAAGTTATTATAATTTCCATAATAATTATAATAATAATAATTATTATAATAATTATTTTAATAATAATTATAATAATTGCAATAATAATTATAATAACTTCCATATGCAATCCTAAGGCCAGCAATCAAACATATTCGAGGCAAGGAGCCAATATCAACTGCAAGCACAAAGATATTGAATTAAAAAATTATCACGCTCCATTTATATGCATTGGTTTTGTTGATGCAACAGTCCGGCCAATACGCAGGCCAGAAAAGAATCAAAGAACAAAGAGGATCCACGCTCTTAAATTTCAATCATGCAGTTGTCATTCCCAATGGAATTATCGCCAATTTACACGGACTAGTAGGTGCGTAATATACACTAGTCAATGTAACTCTCCTCCATTTCCACCTATCCCCCCAACCTTGGGCATTAGGTGGAGTTTAGGTATCATTTGCTTTCTAATGAGCTACTTCACCAATAACTGCTAATCCACACCTAATGGCAGAGGTTAATTGGGAAGGAGTGGGGGTTTCAAGCCAATTGACCATGTGGTATGTGATATTCTGTGTGCCAAGATAACATTTTTTCACTAAAAAAGTGAAGTTACAATATGCAAATTAGGTAAATGCATAAATTAAACATGCGTGAAAGGCATTGCTGCCAAAAAATGAAAATTTGAGCGCCTATTTGAAGACTTAAAATTGAGCAATTTTTCTCATGATATTTGGACCATTCTAATAAAACACATAACAAATTTCTCGTCCATGAACTCAACATGCGTTTTAAGCTTTTAATTTGCACGCGCAAGCTATTTTTAATGCTGCTAAGAAAGACCCCCCTGCTTTGGAAATTTATTCTTCACGAAAATTTCTTGTTTATTCTACATCAAACAATCTATATTTATCAAATACATACATATATACAGACATAAACTTTATTTCAGTGTCAAGAATACATAGCCGAAACTAGTCTAAATATTAAATGACATGATTCACATGAACGGATTTGTGAAATTGAGAGCCGTTTCAAAATTGTCTACTTCTTTCTGATACACACATGCTATACCGATTATCCCGTTGTTAAATCGCAGCATGAAAATGGAGCGTTTACTTGGCTTAAAATTGCCTTTGCAAATGGCTTGGCTGATACTGCCATGTCAGTTTTTGAAAATATTACTGAAGAAGCAATATACGGTATAATGCGCATAATTACGAATTCACGTCGATGATGTTTACCTTAGCGACGGTAATTGGCTTACAATTCAATCATGCCATCCAACCCAAACTCCCGATTTTTAATATCACAACCACCAAAACCAAATTATGTCGATGCTGGTGTTGGCCATGCTTCACCGTCCATATGAACAAAGCAGCAGCTAGTGTGTTGCAATTGGAATAAAACGAAACTTTGTTTTTCGTTACTTTTTGTTTAAAATCTTTGTCTGTTGAGGACCGAAATTTGAGGAAGAAATACGCCGCTCAGAATGTAGGAAATGGCGTTTCCGAGCTAAAAATTTCCAAAATTCTCTGGGGGTCCCACGGATCCCCTAGTTAAGTGAGGTTGAGGAGCGACGATCAGTTTTCTGTCTGGATCCGCCCACTTAATAAAACCGATCGGCAAACATAGTGATACTCTTGAAAGAACTTTGAACTTGCCGGTTGGCGTGAAGAACTCGTGCCTCAGTTCCGGTTTTATTATTAACCGGCCAATACTTTTTCATTGTTCACCATTCCTTCCAGGGGCGCCACAAGGAACCAGCTGCGGCAGAATCTCGAAAAAGGCACTTTCACCTGTACTTGTCAGACAAGCCTAACAAAATCAATATTAAATCGATATAACAAGGCGTCATCTGGCTATATTCATTCAATAAATATATATATATTTATACTAGAAGAAATGTACTGATTCACAGCAAACGTTTGTTAATAACTGATAACAAAATAAAATAGAAAATGGCTTCCGTCGTTTCAGTGTTTGCGTGCCGCAATCAAACAACTGTTATTTATGCTATTTTTGTATGAACTTGTAGATTTATTGATATATTTTCCGACGTAACTGCGTTGTTGTTCATTTACTGTTCTAAAGGCTTTTGCTATGCATGCTGTCGGTACAATCTTTACCAATGCACTCCTTATGGATAGCAGCAGACTTTCTACTTTCGATTTCTCGCGAGATTCATCTCGTTGATTTCTTCAGAACCTGGTTACACAATCTGTATTTCGTCAATCGTCAACCACAACGAGTAGCGACGATTGCCAATTATAAAATAAAATGTATATAACGCGTGCTCTAATTGGTCGAAACCCGTATTTGGATCAGGCCATCAAAACACGGAATACTTCGTGTTGTTATTACTTTATAAAACAATTACTTTATGTTTTCCGTGTTTGGATGGCCTGACCCAAACACGCGGGAATGTTGCGAGAGTTAAGAACAGCGCGCGCACCATAAAGTAATTGTATATTATCATTAGCTCTGGCTCATTCCTCCCCGTTACGCATCTCATTCGCAAACTTGCAGAATTTTAACGTACGTTTGATTTGCAAATTTGGACAGGATAAATTTTAACCCAGTGTGATAAAATGGATTCATTAGTAGCATTTGTAAAGGCATTAGCTCTTTAAATACATGTAGGACATCCGGCTTCTCCCACTGCCCCCGTGGTTCAGACGTCCATTGCTTACTCCTCACCAAAGCATGATGTTTTGTGGGCCGGGTTTTGTCCAATCGGCAAACAGGAAATTTGAACTTTGATCCTTAGTATATAATAAAATTTTCTATTTGCTGTTGAAGGCGTACAGGGTGTCTCAAAACACCAAAACTATTGAAATAACGTATTGTTAGAATTTGAATGCCTTAGCACTAAGCTGAATCAAAGATGCGTAAAATACTGACCGGGTGCATATATTATAAATATCACTTGTTAAGAAATTAAAATATCTTTGTAGAGCTTTAATTCTGCTCTTGGGAATTAAAGCAGCTTCTTAAACAGTTTCTTTGTGCATAAAATTTACTTATTTCAAGATTTTAAAGCTAAAGAAGTTCTCAAGGCTAAGTATGGGATTAAATAAGAGATCATTCAAGCTCATGGTAAGCAATTTATGAATTTACCAGTGATAACGTCAGTTAACTTAAATTAAATTCATGAGTTTTAACGACTGTTGAATGTGAGTGTGAACTCATTGGGAAAACTAGATACTGCCGAGATCTTAGTCAGAGAAACTCTAGACAAGTTGGCCCCATAAAGGCAGATCCGACCCGAACAGACTCAAAATGGCAAGAGTGGGAGTTTGATGACCTATTGACAGCTTTACGAAATTTTACTCTGAGAAACCCAAAAAATGCAGGTAGCATTGGGGACGATGAAAATGGACGGAGATCTCCAAGGGGGGAGAAACAATTCCAAGGGACTGAGAACAGGAACCCAAGTGTGTATACTGCAATTCTACTAACCACAGATGTAGTGATTGTGATAAAGTGAAAGATGTGAGTGAGAGGAGAGATTTTCTAAGAAAGAAAAAACTTTGTTACAATTGTATGGGCTCAGGACATGGGGCGGCAAGTTGCAGAAGTAGAAATTGTAGGAAATGTTGTGGAAAGCACCATACATCTATTTGTTCATCTAAAAGAAGATTGGTGCGACCTTACATGATTGGTGCGACCAAGGAAACCATACACCCAACCATTGTTGTTGTGGCGGGTGGGGCGAAATTCAGAGTAATGCTTGACACATGTGCTGGCAGTTCATTTGTCTCATCAACAGTCATTAATTAAACACTTAGGAAATAGACCAACCAAGTGGGAGAACAAAAGCATTGAAACAATGACTGACACTGTCAATCAAAAGATGCCTTGCTACAAAGTCCACAGATGGTGTATCAAAGTTCTTTCGTAAATTATTTTAGAGGCACCCCCTACACCTAGTGTCTGTCTCTGGACAAAATGGCTACTTATTGGTGCAGTTACTCTTTCTTTCTTTCTATTCTTTTTCCTTCCTTTTCCTTCTTTCCTTTCTTTTTCCTTCTTTTTTTTCTTTCCCCCATTTTCTTCCTTCCCTTTTTTCTTTCTGCCAGCATAAAAAACTTCTGGGACCAATGGTCCCGTGGTCCGCTATATTTTCCACCCCTAATTCTGTAAGATAATATATTAGAGGTGGATACATAGCAACGGCTGAAAGCCACGTGTGTGGCCGACATACCACGCATGAATAGGGGGGTTTGGGGGCATACTCCCCCAGAAAATATTTGAAATTTGAAACCCAGAAACGCCATTTCCTACATTCTTAACATCCAAATTTGCTCTAAAATTTATGCTAACCAGTGGCGGAAATTCCTTTTACCGGGGCGGGGGGCGAAGCTTCTAAATTTCCGACAAAACATTCAAATTTCCGACAAACCCCCCCATTTGCACTCGGAAAGGCTGTTTTTAGCCCTCTTATACGTCAAAATTTTCCGAAAATTCGTCATTTTCCACTAAGGTGGTGGGGAGCAGCCGTCCCCCCGCTCCACCAAGATTTCCGCCACTGATGCTAACTATACTTGTATTTGAAATAAAAGAAGGAAAAAACACACAAAAAATAAAATAATTATTAACAATAATTTATCATTACTTGGTGGTGGAAAAACGTAACAATTTAAATAGATTTTGTTAATCAAGGACAAAGGATAAAGCCTAAAACTTACTTTCCGTTTATCTAAAAACTTACTTTCCGTTTAAAACTTACTTTCCGTTTATCGTTAAAAGGACCTTTCCTGGGAGAAGGGGCAAAATATGATTTGTCTTTGGGGGGGGGGGCACAAGGTGAGACTGGGGGGCATTCCCTCTCCCCTACTTGTATGTTAAAAAAGCCCTGAAAGGAATTGTCACCCTTCGACAGACGAGAGTTCCATTTGGAAGCGTATCAAGTTCATTCTTACTTGGGGGAACACTTAATAGACATCTGGATAATTGCCAGAAAGATTACCCGGATACAGTGGAGGAGCTTAAGAATATCACATACGTGGACGATGTGATTTCTGGAGGTGAAACTATCAAGAAGCTGCAAAAGTTCAAGGAAGAGTCTGTTGAACTATTTAGCCAAGGAGGATTCCCATTACACAAGTGGCATTCAAGTGACCCTCGGTTTGAGGAGCAGCAACCAGCGGATGAAGACCAAACATATGCAAAGGAGGAGTTGGGTACAAAGCCAGCGGAAAAAATTCTCGGGATGAAGTGGGACAAAGCAAAAGACACTTTAGCAGTTGACTTTCGTGGGTGCAAGCAGACTGGAGAGGATACGAAGCGTGGAATGTTACAGTCAATAGCTAGAGTCTACCCTTTAGGGGTAACCTCGCCGTTGATGATGGATGCGAAGGAGATTTATCGGAAAACGTGCGAAGAGAAATATTCATGGGACATTCCTCTGCGAAAGGAGATAGCAGAATCATGGACGAAATGGCGGGATGGTCTTTCTGAAGAAGTAAGCGTTCCATGAAGCATAACCCTTCATAATGAGGGGATAACCGAGCTAGACTTACATGGGTTTGGAGACGCAGCGTAAAGGGGTGTGGTGCAGCAGTTTATGCAGTAGTTTATCAGAGGGAGAAGACAACTCAGGGACTGGTTACATCCAAATCAAGAATAGCGAAGCCAAATGTCAGCATTCCAAGACTGGAACTCATCGCAAGACATATGGTAGCAAATTTAACCGACAACGTTCGCAGGGCTTTAGCTGTATATAATATCTTTGGTGCTTACGGATGACTGGACATAGCAGTGACTCTCTATTGGATTAAGAATAAAGACGGTGAATGGAAACAGTTCGTGTTCAACCGAATCGCAAAAATTCAGACAGGCCGCGACATGGTTAGCTGACGAGAACAAGTGGCCAACCGATATATCTCTAAAGAAACCAAGGAGGTTAGCGAAAAACAAAGAGTAACCGTACAGAAATAACACACAATATATTGTTATGAAAGAGAACAATTTGAGCGACTTCCTGTGAAATGGAATGATTTTGCGTATTGTTGCATGGATTTTCAGATTCGTGTCTAACACAACGAAGCGGGGAAAAAGAAAGGTGTTCTGACTACCAATGAGATTCATCATGCCGAAACTTTCTGGATAAAAGTCGTTCAGGAAGAAGCGACCAAAGAAGAAAACCATTCAGCTATTGCATTAGCCTGCGTAGCAGGCGTTTAGTGCGGGCGGGAGAAGAAAGGGCGTCGTTAAATAAACGCCTGCCCAAATGCCTATAATTAATTTGTTCTTCTCCGAAGAATCTTCGGAAAAGCTTCCCATTGGTTAATCTCGTTAACGGAAGTAATTACGTAACTCAAATGTCAACAATAATTTTGCTCGCGTTGACGCGTTTATAGTCGCGTATCAAAAATATGCCGCCTGTTAATGCTTTCGAGGAAACTTTCTTATATTTCAAGTATTTAGGCTTCGAAATTCAGTTGAACCCTCTGAGTTGAACCAGAACAGAGAAAGTATATCATTAATTTGCTACGTGATGAAGACGCCGGTTATCGCGATTCTTGCTAAAGAATACGGAAAAGTTTGATCTTTCAATTATACATTTTAAATATATCCTGAATATTTCTTTAAGGTTATTTGTTCACTTTAAAGTATAATTCAAGACCAGATAGTTGAGGCTATATCACTTGGCATTGGAGCTATGAGGTTGGATGATTTTAAGAATAACATTTCAAAACATGCTCATGAACTGTTATATTCGCTATACGGCAGAATACGTTAAACAACAGTGGTTCAGGAGTCTTTTAAAAGATAAAAGCTCTGTGCACGTTGTGACTGACTGTTGTCTAAAATAGCTTCAAAAACTCATTAATAATTCATGAGGAAAACACAAAGAAAAATCATAAACGTGTCGTATCTTGGATATGTGATAGAGATTTCCCTTGATTTACATAAATTTTAATGATTTTCTCTACGTACATACTGTATACACACCGAATTTTTTGAAAGCTACTTCGCCAATAACGTATACTAGATCGATCGTTTTTGAAGCAATTTAAAACATTCGCAGTGCGTGTTTTATCAGACCATCTTTATATCTGATAAAACACTGCTGCTCGTGTGTTAAATAGTGCATAAAATCTCCGTAAATCTCCGTAGTTGCCGAGCAAAGAGCATGCATGATGCTAAATATAAATCTCGACTATGACTGGATAATGGGTGAAGGTGCTAATTACAAAACGTCAATCATCCTTAATGTGCGAAAACAAATTTGTCATAGCCATTTGGGCAGGCGTTTCCTCTGTACCCGCCCGTCAGCTAAACGCCTGCTATGCAGGCTACTATTGCATCTAAGCTGGGTTTGGAAGCAGATGAAAAAGGAGTACTACGGTGCAAAGGACGAATAATCGGGGAGCATCCAGTCTACCTTCCAAGAAATCATCGCTTGTCGAGTCTCGTGATTTCTGATGCCCACGAACATATACCCATGGAGGAGTAGTGTTAACGATGGCCAAAATTTGACAGAAATGGTGGATCGAGAAGCTAAGATCCTTGGTCAAGTAGGTGCTACACAAATGCAGTACATGTGTAAGGTATAGAGCAACACCTCTACTATCACCAACGCAAGCGCCGTTACCAGAATTCCGCACAACGGGCAATGGGGCATTTGAAACAGTAGGGTTAGACTTCGCGGGCCCGATTTCATACAAGATCAAGAAGGGAGTTCAAGGGAAATGCTACGTGGCATTGTACACCTGTGCTATGTCTCGAGCGGTACACCTTAACCTCCTTCCAGATATGACGGCGGAAGAGTTAAAAGGAAGTCTCGCGGAATTTGTAGCCATAGGGTGACGAGGTAGCAAGAAGTCGACCAGCGAAGATTGTTAGTGACAACGCGAAAACGTTTGCCGCCATGGCAAAGTGGTTACGTAAACTCAAACGTAGTCAAGTCGTGGACGATTACCTCGCTCGGCGCGAAATCCATTGGCAGTTTAATCTCGCAAAGAGTCCCATGGTGGTGCTGGTTTTTCGTGCGAATGATTGGGCTCATGAAGAACGCGTTCAGGAAAGCCATTGACAATGCAAATCTTACCTTCAAGCAACTGAAAGAGGTACTGTTAGAAGTTGAAATAACCTTGAATAATCGACCGTTAGGATACTTGGACGATGATATTGAACTTCAACCTTTGACTCCAAATGGAATGATCCATGGTGCTAACATCAGGCTACCTGAGGAAGATCCAGACGAACAAGACGAAGCCAAGGCAATGGTTAAGCGTGCCAGATATCTAAAACGGTGTAAGGATGTAATGTGGAAACGATGGTCTTCAGAATACGTAAGGGCGTTGCGATAACGTCATGGACAATTGACTGGTAAGAAGTCGGAGACAAACGTACGTTGGTGATTTTATGCTTCTACAAGGTGAAGAAAAGAACAGAGAACTGCGGAAAATGGGAGTAGTTGAGAAATTGATTACCGGAAAGGACGGAGTTGTTCGTGGTGTCATACTTAAAACTGGTAATGAAAGAAAGGAAAGATCACTTCAACATCTATACCCGTTGGAGCAAGTGCACCAACTAAATCACAGCAGTCAATGTATTGAATCCAAAGGCGAAAGCATTTGAATCAAGAAAATAAAGAGCGGCGAAAACAAAGGCGTTAGAGAAGATCGGAAAGATAATAAGTGATATTGCAGACTCTAAGGACAATTAAACAGTTAAATATTTCTTAGCCTTTCCGCTAAGAAAGGGGGAGGTTGTTGAAAATCTATTGATTTGTGTTTGATCTCGAGTTTCCAGTTTGGGTGATCTGTGGTGTACGGGCCCCAATGAACGATCGGATTTGGGTTTATTTTGCAAGAGTTTTGAAGTAAATATGAACAGAAAAAAATTATTTTCGTGTGAAAACATTTCCCACAAAGTTTTAGGCTTTAACGTTAGTCCTTGTTTAACAAAATCGCTTTAAATTGTTACATTTTTCTACCACTAAGTAATGATAAATTATTGTTAATAATTTTTTTTATTTTTTGTGCGTTTTCTTCTTCTGTTTTATTTCAAATACAAGTATAGTTAGCAGAATATTTAGAGCAAATTTAGATGCTCAGAATGCAGGAAATGGTATTTCCGGACTTCAAATTTCAAAAATATTCTATCCCCCTCTAATAAGTAATGATAAATCAGGATTAATATTTTTTTACTTTTTGTGTGTTTTTTTCCTTCTTTTATTTCAAATACAAGTATAGTTAGCATAAATTTTAGAGCAAATTTGGCTGCTCAGATTGCAGGAAATGGCATTTTTAGGCATTGACTCCCCTAAGAATTCATGCGTGGTATGTCGGCCCCACACGTGGCCTTCAGCCATTCTATCCCCCTCTAATATATTATATATCTCACAGAAAGGTCCCTTTTCAAGAAATGGTCTCCCTACAAGAAAATCCTTTAAAAGATTCTGCTTGATAATGTTCACTAGCTAGAAGTCAAGAATGCCATTGTAATAGGTTCGAACATGCAAATGGTTATTACCAATTTTCAGAAATATATAAAATGAATATCCTTGTGCTATTCACCGACACTTGAGTGAATAATCCTTTTAGCATATACGTATACCAATATAAAACGAAAATGACCAAAAAACCCCGAAAAGATTATTAAGACAATCTAGCTGTATTTCAGCTCCCATACGATGTGCAAACAAAACAGTATTTAGATGTTTTCGATTTGATCATTTTTATTCATTAGTAATAGCTTTAAATAATACCTCTACACACTGTTAAACAAAACCTTGTGACCTTCTTCGTGTTTCGCGAAGCCGCATGGCCCGCATCTTCGCTTAGTACAAAATTTTTCTCGTTTGTAACCAAAACTAAACGGGAAGCCATTTAATTTTTGTCCGGAGGTGAATATTGCAATCTAGGATATCCGTAGCTGAGCAACCAATCGAATTGCGTGAAAAGCACTATCCACTTCCCGAGTATATGTTAACTATTGATATCGGTTTGCGACATTAAAGTGAGATTAAGTTAAAATGCCTTTTAAAAATCCTTTGAAGACATAACGTCTATTCTTCTCTGGAGACACCATCTATGGTGTGCGGACACACGTACCATCTATATGGTGTGCCAAGAGAAGAATAGACGTGTTCTCCAGGGATTTTTTAAAGTTATCGAGCTCTTTCCTAGTTTCGACAAAACAAATTGTTAAAAAGTTCATAATCCCCGAGCCGGCGGCGCGAAGCGCCGTGCGAGGGTACTAATTCCGTCCAGCTATTTACACCCGGGTGTTTGAAAACATAGCGAAGTGCAAAGTTGTCCTCCATTATGTGATGGACGGTCTTCGACGTTATTGCGCATGCACGTGTAATAGCTCGCACTATTAAAAAAAATGTTTTTCATTTTGGAAAGATACTTGCTATCTTACAATATTTTTTGCGATGTATTTCGCTATTTAACTGGAAACAAGCCTGCAGTTTCATGAATTAGTGGTTGTCAACCGTGAAACAAAGTGTAAAAGGCATGC